CTGTCGAATTTATATAGGCTAGTGCCTATGAAAATGTTATTATTGTTCCTACATTTTGTTAATAAACATTACTATGTACACACACACACACACACACTAATACTAATAAATGTAAAAAATATAAATTTTAAGTAAAGAAAGAATTATATTGAACAGAAATTAAAAATTGATGGAGACGAGATTGTAATTGTTTGGGCACAGTAATCTTTTTTTTGGTTATACAGAATAATATATCCTTGTCCAGGATTTAAGTATATACACTAGTACAGTGTGTAAGGTATAAATTTTAAGTAAAAAAAGAAAAAAAATTATTTTTTACAGGAACCAGAAATTGATGAGGACGAGATAAAAATGTAGAAAAATCTTGTGGCGCCTCTGTTGCTATATCCATGAACTAATGTATTGCTCTGTTTTATCTCATTATCTTGATTAGCATGCACATATTTCTATTAATTTTCAGGAACACTAATCTTTTATATTACATTCCTAAATTCAATTCTAATGGTCTCATGTCATTCGTCTGTATAATGTAGTATGTGTAACCTCTTATTCTGTATGTACAAACTGCATAATTTTTTATTTAACCAAAAGTTTATAAACACAAACACACTTTTTTAATTTTTTTCTTTCTTTGCTTACAATTTATACTTTACACATTGTATTACTGTATATCCTTCAATCCTGTAAAAGGATATATCGTTCTGTGTAACCAAAAAAAAGATTAGTGAGCTTAAAAAATTTAAAATTTTAGTCGGTAAAACAGACGACTTTAGGATTCCCTTAAGAACCGTCGCAGGATGTTTTTTCTCTCTTTTCCTTTCTTTCCAATAATTCTTATATGCACATTAAATTTCTCGATATATGAGAACAATGTACTTAAAATTTCGTACACTTTAGGTATCTCGATCTAAGATCGGTGTAGAATCTAACTGTCTCTTGTGGACTAATTTATTAATTTCTTTAAAAAAAATTAAAAATTTAGCACAAACATCCTGCGACGACTCTTAATACTCTTCTATTATATTTCTTGATTGTTATTATATGGAGCCTTTCTAGTATATGTGTTGTAACGATGCAGCGATGCTCGCCAGTGAACATCCTATTGCGAGAGCACTTGTAATCCTTCGAGAATACTCGAAGTCTATGACCAGCAGCCTCACGAGCACGAACATACTCGTGCACCGACCGAGCATACTCGGCCCCAGGAACCGCTTCCACACGTTACGGGCACACCCGTATTCCCGCCGAGTATACTCGGCTCTAGATCTCGATACGAGAATACTCGTATTCCTGCCGAGCATACTCGGCCACCAGGAACCGTCCTTCGTTCCTCCGTGCGAGCATACTCGCACGTTACCGAGAGTACTCGGCCTCGATCCTCGCATACGAGCGTACTCGTATATTACCGAGCATACTCGGTTTCGTTTCCTCGCATACGAGCCCACTCGTATAATAACCGAGCATACTCGGTTTCGTTGCCTAAATACGAGCATACTCGTATATTACCGAGCGCACTCGGCTTCGTTCTTACATACGGGCATACCCGTATACCGCCGGGAATACTCGGCTCCACGTCAGATCACCGATCATTGCAGGGCGCGGGCAATACGCGCGTCCTCGCTCCCGTCTTCATCCTTTCAAATCGGGTCCTCATATCCGGCAGGCAATCGCGAACAATCGAATCGACAGCGATCATCGAATCACCGCGCACGCGCCCGAGCTATCGATCAGTCGATCGATCATCGACGCCGCTCGAACGTATCGATCCACGCGCTCGCAGTCGTCTGGAGACAACTGCGGCACCCGCGCTTGCGCTGACGCTTTCTCGTCACTGTACGACCACCGTTACACATCGTTCACACCGCCGAGATAAATTATAACACGCGTTCAAACCGACATACTAAACGTTCCGTATTCACACGGCTGTATATAATAGACTTTATCATTTGAGAAATAAACCTTCTTTTATTTTATTATTTTGTTCTTATTATTTCATCCGAGCATTCTTCTACGTGCCCCCAACCGACCGAGCTCCTGACTCCGGCGAATTATTCCGCGTAAACCAACGTACCGTTTCAGTGTTTTCGATTTTATGTTACTTTGTTTTTTACCACAAAACTCCAGGTAAAGAGAAAAAAAGGAATGCAATCAATAAGACACGTATCAATTAACTTTTATCTTTTTGCATGCATATACATTCAAATGTAAAAATATATACATTACAGAGTAGAGAACTACATACGCATATTTATGTTTTTTTTAATTAATGTATTAAAATATATAGCAGTATTAATAAATTCGGTAAATAATGCGTATTTCTTTGATATAATTATTATCTGAGAACAGTTTTATTAGAGACATAAATAATTATTTCTGCAATATTTCTCAAATATCATTTATGTAAATGATATGATGTAACATCTTTTTCGCGGGGTAGTAATTGCTATACCAACTAGGCATGATGTTACAGCGCTTCTTCCTGATTTGAACTTCATAGTTTTGACTGACGTATCAATATTTACATTCAAATGAAGAACCATACGTATTTCTTCGTCCTCTTGTACCGTATTCAGTTATCTGTGTTCTGTAAGGAGAAACGGACACAATGTCGGAAGTTATTGTAACGGAAGAAAACGTGTGGCAATATTACGAAAAAGTGTCGGATTACGAAGCAAAATGCAAGTTTTGCGGACGAAAATATGTTTACGTCCGTTCAAACATTCGCGTACATATAACAGAAAGTCATGATCATATAATAAATTACGAAGGAACATATAAAGGACGACAAGAATGGCCATGGACATGTTATAAGTACAACGATACTTCCACCTCACAATGTCTTTTCTGTCGTAAGAATTTTCAATCTGATTTTCAATCTTTAGCATCTCATCTACACCACAAGCATGTTAACGAAGTGAAGAATTACGTACTTCACCATTGGACATGGAAATATTGTGAGGAAAGTTAATGATTTTCAAGCGAAATGTACCGAGTGTATCACTGACTTACGTATTTGGTTGAATAATCATTTACAAACACATATAAATAATCATTCGGAAGAATTAAAAAATATCCAAGAAACACGCGACATAGTTCTTTCGTCAAAATCCATCATAGGTTTAAAAATGATAGAAGTTCGAAGAAACATATCGGATTATTATACTAAACTGCTGTCTTTTCGAGTAAAATGCAAATCGCTAAACTGCACCTATCAAGATAAGTTTGTCTCTATTACACATAATCTTCTGCACTTTCGCAAATGCCATAAAGCCATATCTAAATGGGAACAGAAAAACAAAAATCAAAAACCATGGATATATTTTAAGTATTCGTATGAATATACTTTTGATAAAAACATATTGCACTCAGAATGTCTCATGTGTGGTGAATTCTTTCTGACTACTCCTGAATCTACAAAGACACATCTGTCACAGCATTCTGACGAAGAACTAGATGACTTCATACATGACCATTGGGTAATGAAATATTTTATACAAGGTGATGACTTTAAAGGGCTCAAGTGTACCATTTGTTGCAGAAACATAATATTTGAAATTAATTTTGGAGTATTTTATCATATAATTCTAAGTCATCCGAAAGAATTGCATTTGAGTATATCAATAGAAAATATGCAAGAACTGCGCCTAAATTATGATTTAATAGATTTTCGAGCAAAGTGCCAATCTTGCGACTTTCAATCTTGTTACGTCAATACGAAAAACTTTAGTCAACACGTAAAGGAAAAGCATCTAGAAATAAATAATGACGAAGAAGCATGCGGGGAAAATTGGCAATTCAAGTGTTTTAACTATATTAATTCAACTACTTTACAATGTCGTCTCTGCAACACAGAACATTCGAATAATCGTTCCACTTTAAAAAACCACTTATTCAATCACTTTTCTGACAAAAAGGAACACATTGTCGACTGCGGCTGGGTATGGAACTGCTGTACAAAAGTTGGTGATTTTGAAATAGAATGTCATTTTTGTCAGAGCAAAATATCTCTTGACGTTCCGTTATGGTATTTCGATCGTCACATTGAAGATAAACATCCGAATAGGCTGACAAGTACACAGAGAATGTGTGACATAGCTGGATCATCAGGAAGCCAACCAAACTGAAGAAAACAGGTAACAATATGTTTTATTAATATAATTGTATATATTTTTATGTACAATTTATTATTTACTTTTTTGAATCGCATTTAATTTAATAAATAAAATTTAATGAGAAGAGCAATAACCAAAAAATTTGTTGTTAATAAGTATTAAAATATTTATATAGGTTTATTCAGAGTTTGACAATGATGATAACGACGTTCAAGTAGCATCACAACCAACGATAACGGCAATTTTAATTTTGACGATTCAAATAATTTGAAGTACACGAGAAAAGTGACATGTCTTTTGACGTATAATTTGTTTTACTTTTATAATCTATAAATATGTTTATTAATCTATGTGTCACATAAATAACAAGTATTAGAACTTATATACGTTGATAAATTTTATTTATGTGTACTATGTTTTTAATTTATAAACTATGTTTATAAGTTTATAAAGTAAGACAATTTTATGAATTAATTATCGACTTTTTTGTAACTATAAAGCTATCGACGATTTATTTAAGTGCATTTGTAAATATTTTATTTCTATTTCATTTTCTTATAAAATTGGTTGATCATGCATTTTTCATTTTTTATACTTAAATTTATTATTATAACTTCTGTAGAGATCGCCGAAATGTAATACATTAATTGTTAGTAAAATATGTCAATTTTTAATTTTTTTAGTTGTATTTGTTTAAGAATTGTATTATACAATATAACCAGACAACACGCATGTCTTCAAAATTAATCATGATAGAAATTAATTGCTTATTAATAAATGGAAACAAATATGATATGATTTCTTTGTATAATTTATAAAAAGATTTATAAAGTATTATTTATTGTAATATTTTTTTGATGAATTTATTCTGCATTTTTTTAAACCTTCTGATCTAATATCTTTTATATCTAATTGTAATAACAGGCCATATCTTCAAGCCACCGTCTATCCTGAATTTACATTTTCTTTGCTTTATCGGCATTGCCCTCACCTTACGAACTGGCAAAACATTCTCGGATTGAGAAACTGTATTGAGTGAATGTGTAAAGCTTCGTGTTGATTCGCTTGCCTTGGTATTCAATCACATCGTCAGGATCGCACATAGTGATCCGTTTATGCAGAAGCCAAAAAATTTTGTTTAGAAAATGCTATTAGTAAGATTTTGCTAAATAAAGTAACGAAATTAGTCGGGAATATAAATAATCATCGCAATAAGTGAATTATGAAAGCTTACAAAAGTAATAATTGCGTAAATTACTGCAATTAATATGTTCTTAATTAAGAGACAATCAATAAAATAAACAATAAGATAGGAAATAGACAAAAAATATCATTTTTATCGATGCTTACTGTTACGATCATCAGCGCAAAAATTGTTATTGTTTTTTCATCATTATCGATATCGTAGAAATGAGGTAAATATCCCGGTTTCAATTTTTGTCAAATGTTCTCGTCACTCTTTGTCGAAAGTTTCATTATATTTTTGGTGAAGAAATAAACAATTCTTTATAAATCTCTCTGAAAACTTTAAAATGGAATAATCTTTAAAATATTCTTTCTTTTTTTTACAAGATTCTATCTTTTGTGTTTGCAAGCGTTTGTCTAAATTGATGTCTCGCATTTCGTGTTGCATTGTATATTATATTATCAAAAAAACGCATGATGGATAAATTATATTTAAACATCGTGACACGATTTCTGAATTACACTGTGATTTTTATCAACACAATTATTTTATCAAACCAATAATCTGCATTAATATAGCGTATATGTAACATTGAAATCTGTAGACTTAACGTAACATTGTATTAATATTTCAGAAATAATGGGTCTTTTATTAATTATTTATAAGATTTTAGCGTAATAAATAATACAACGCAAAATTTTATTTCTCCAGATACTTTGGTATTTCCTCGAATCTGCATTGAACTTTGCGACGAGCTTGAATCGAAACATTATTGCATCGATAAGATGCGTCAGAGTCATGTTTTTTTGCGCGTACAATCTTTATCAATATACAATCTTGAATATTATTTAATTTATACTTTTTCGTATCTCTTGGAACTTTTTCAATTTTAAACTTACGTAGATATTGATAATCAATGGTACAAAATTCGACATACCTTCTTCGGGAAGCGGAAGTTTTTTTACTGCTAATGATATTTACACGAATTCGCTCCAATCTTCTTCTCGCTGAAATTCTCCTTTGCAAGTCTTGACGATTCATTAAATTGTAAATAATGCCGCGAAATATAACGACGGTAAGATTATGTTGCATTCAAAAACTCGATATCCTACACTTTGTGCTTCGTATTTATTTTAGGAAACTATGGAGCTGTACAAAAGGATGCCCGTGTACAAAGATGCCGGATATCTTGGTGATGTCTGTTCTAATTGCGGGCGCAATGAATACGAGGATGTGACGCGCGGCATCGGGATGCGTAAAAGGAGGACAAAGAATTATGAGAAGCACTGCCCTTCGTGCCACTGTCCTCCTGAGAGGCAGAGATTTTCTCCGCTCGGTAGACCAAAGTAAAGATACTTCCTGCAATAATAAGTTTGTTAAAAATAATGAAATTTCAATGAATTGGTTTTTAAATAACTAGTTGCCAGTTTTTATTAAATGAAAAAAATAAATAATTATTCTAACTGCGTTTATCGTCGGACTTCAAGGACTTCGGAAAACGTCGAGGCTGTGCTAAATCGATACGAACGCGTCTCCGCAGAGCCGATCAGCTCGGCCATCAAGAAATCGCAGAGCAGTCCTTTATCGCAGAAAGTGTGCTGGCACGATTGTCACGCGAACGTTCATTCGCGCTGTCCTAAACGATCGCTGCAAGCCCGTCGTCAGCGAAGAATCGAGCACGATAAGTATCTGTTCAGGATGAAGGGAGACACCGTGAACTCCGAACTGATCGCGAACGAAGACGTCGAAGCGTGCACCAAGTACACGCAATCGATACCAATTAAGAGCTCGCTGAGGCACAGTCATTGCAGGGAGCCCGAAGTAACGCTTGCTTCATTCTCAAATTATTTATATTTCACGAATCCAAAAAAAGCATGATTTTATCGTTAAAATCGAACATGAAAGTTTCAGATATCGTAATTATATCTTTCTCTAATTTAACATTATGAACGTCTTGCAGGCGTCGCCGGACGAGCAAGAATATTCCGACGCGGAGAGCGAAGTGTCGATGAAATATACTCCGCGCGAACGTCAATCGAGAAAATTGCGCGTGCCAAATCCCGGATCGAGGCGTCATTACGGCGACGGCGAACACATCGCCGAGTTGAGGAATGAAAGCGATGACGTGCGAGAGCGGAATGCGCGCGAGTGCGAGGAAATGAGACGGTTCGTCCTGGGACTCGAGGACTTTGAGAGGCTGAAACGAGGCGACGGCGAGGCGGCAACGACGATAAGCGAGGACGAGAAGCGGATCGAGAGACGGAAACTCCACGTCGCGAAAGCGATGAAGCAGAAAAGATCGGCTGGCGACGCCGCTCCTTACGGCACGATAAGCAAGCCGTCTGCGCTGATTAAAGAGTCGATTAGTAAACCTCAGGAACTCGTGCTTGAAGGACCTGCGTGTTTGACGAAACTGGATCTCAACACCACGAAGAGTCGCATTCTGGAATCGATCGACCATATGCTCGGCACTATGGACGACACGAGAGTATGCAATTATACGTGAAACTGACTGTTAATTTGATCTTTGAAGCGGAAATACACTTTAGAAATGATTCGTATTTCACTACTTTGCTCTTTTCAGTCGAAAATATACTTTTAATGTGATTTTGTGATATTCATGGAGCGCAATAAATACCCCTTTCGCTCGGATCCGCATTTAGAGATCGATTTCACGCATCGATTTCGATTTAAACTTCCAGATTAATTAGATACTTCCTGTGTTGACAGAACAACGCACCCGTGCAACAGGAACAAACGGAGCAAGAGACCATAGAGAAGATAACTCGCGAGCTGCAGGAAAACGGCTGGCAACTACTGTTCAACGCTTTGACGATCCATCGAGACTCGACGGATTCCAGTAGAAGAACCGTTCGCCTGGAATGCCTCAATCACATCCGGCAGCAGCTCGACAAGCTCTACGCTCTCGAATCGACTTTGGACAATTGTCCCCTCAAGTTACAATCTTTGTCGAGCCACGATGTGCCGTGCAGCGAGGAGAGGCAGCCGCTGGAACAGAAAATCGCCGATTCTTGAGTGCGCGCGAAAATTGTGTAAGCGTTGTGACAAATTTCGCGAGCAACACTCGCGTGTTTGCGAAGTGCAATGTAGAGCGAGGTGATTGCGAAAGCGCGCAAGAATCTGCGAAAGTGCGCAACAGATGACTGTACACGTGCATTAATTTTAGATAAGTGTATGAAATTTGATAAAATATTAATTAAATTTCGTTAAATGTGTCGTCACTTACTTCGAAGGTGTAAAGCTGTGGCCATTTAACGTGGAGATTGAATTGGTAGCAATAGCTTTATTGTTGAAACGTTTCAAATACATCAGAGTACATAACTACTCTACCTCCCTCCCGCTTTCAAGCTAAACAAGGTATTGTGTAATATTAAATTGTTTTCACTCGGTATATAGGTCTCCTTGCAATGAGAGGTGCGCAACGAATTCATTTGTGTGTGTCGCACATATACACGCATCGCGCGCGAAGGTAGAAGCGCGTACATATGCGCTCATTATTAGGCTCTTCTGCTCTTTGCATTTGCTACGCATGTATTTCAATATACATACATACATACATACATACATATATGTATATATACTCGTCAAACGTGTGTATATATATAATATATATATTTAGAGATCTATAAATATATATATATTTATATATATATATGCGACATTAGTAGAACAATTATTTACATAACGTTGTAATAAGCTATGACTAGATATATATTGACGCGTTAGGATATACTTCTGGAAACTTCGAGTAACGATGGGAAAAGACATAAGTCGGAGGGATCCCGGTAATCCCTACGCTT